ATATCAGATCCCCAAGAATCCTAACACCCATACCGATGCCTATTGAAACTCAGCCACGAGACATGATTGACAGGCCAACATTTGAAGATGCTGCACAATGCAGCCGTTTGGAAAACCACCGGAACCTTTTCTCCATTCGTGTATCCCAGCTGTGTAAGCTGCTTCCGCTTACTGTTATCTCCACCACAACCTTAGCTGTTTTCAATCCTCGACTTGACGATGCATTACACCACCTACATCACATGATTCAGTACAAGTTACTGGGACACTGGATAAGATAACAAAAATGTATGTACGCTTAAAATTGCGGTGAGTCCACCGCTACGCGTCATTGTATTTGACACATTCAATATTCGGTCTGACTCGATACCTACAGAAAGTGTTAAGCATGCGACTATACACCGGTGATAAAACTAATGTTCTTTAACCTCGAAGAGAATAAAATATATTACCTGAAGCCAACCGAATACGGTTTATACCTATAGGCGGGTGTACATGTATTATAACCGTAGACTGTAACAAAATCCGTTCGGAACGGGAAACAAGAACACCACTGTGCTGGACGAGCTGTATTGAACAAATGACAAAGCTGAGCAACAGGGATGAAAACATATTAATAGATCAATAAGCCAACTACATGAAAGGACATAGTCATGAATGGGGAGCAGTTAAAGTCCAAACGACTGTCGTACGTATGTGCAAGACAATCAAGTGACGGGACAGTCACGAATGTCAAACCATGTAGCTGTGAACGAATATCAAACGCGAGCCTGTCTAACACCTTCCTACTTTAAACTGAACTGAATAGCACGTACGTTTGATTCGTATGCTTTACGTATTGGGTTAACCACGAGTCTCTGCACTGGGGCTCTGATTCGCCTTGAGTATCTTCGATCTGTTGTTACGTTTTCTGTTTGAATGACAGGCTCTTCCGACGGGGTAATTTGATACTCATCCAGCAAGATGTCCGACGGTAGTGAAGCTTCCTGTTTTTGGATCGTCCCTTGCACTTCTAAACGGGGTCTAATATGGTTTACATGTCTAGTCCATATGATAGAACCCACTTGTATTCTGTACAAAACACTTAAAATCCGTTTAACGACACGGCCAGGAATCCAGGATGACCTTCCGTCACGAAAATTCTTTACATACACAATACCACCAGGCACAAAATGCCGGTGGCGTGTTCCATGATGGCGATTAAATGCCAAATCCATTTGCACATTGCGCTCACGCTCATGTAGCGATGGCTTCAAAGCATCAAGGACCGTTCTGACACGCTGACGAGAAACTGCGAATGGTACGCCGGCTTGCGTATGTGTTCGACGCCATGTGAGTTGCAAAAGCTGGCGATTTCTTGGGAATTGAATTGGGAACCATTGTCCGAAACAATGGTTTCAGAAACACCGAATGCTGAGATAAGATGGCGTAGGAGTAACAAAGCAGCGGAAGTAGTTGCGTATCTCATTTGAAAAATTTCGGGCCACTTTCATTAAGCATCGACAACTACCGGATGGTGGAAACTTCCAAGCATCAGTCAAAATCAATATGAATGCGAGACCGTGGTCCTACAGGGCGTTGGTATAACGGTATCTATCCGAAACTCAGATTCAAATGGTCAACCAAAGGCGTACGGCAGAAAACACGGAAATAAGCTAGAGAAATGTTCATTAGAAGGTTGCTAAATCTTAAGACTAAAAATAGGACACCGGAAGATGACTAGTTAGGGAGTATGTGGTAGGGCACTGAGTGCGATCGGAGAACCGACGTTCTTTTCAAAGCCCGCCGACAAAGTCCGGATGTTGTCGGTGTGTCTCTTACAAAAACTGGGCCATACAAACATGCAACCCACTTACTTCTCTAATACATGAGAAAACTATGATTTCAGACCATTTAGGATTGATTTACACATCAAGCGGGGGAATCTGCAGGTCACTACACAGCCCCCTCCTAGAAGGGAAAGCGTGGGTGACCCTTTGATCTATTTGAGGACACTCCATCGCCAGCCAGTCTTCTGCACACCAGGTGGTGAGACCTGATGCAGCTGCTGGGGGAGCACTAGTACGATCAGACCCTAGCGGGCTGCCACCCGTGTCCTCCATAAAAGTGCCAAAAACACAAAGTGGGGAGGGGGAGGAATTCGTGAGAGCCAAATGTTCGCAATCTCGTGAATGTCAAATGTTTGCTTGCGAACGTTAAATGTTCGCTTTCAGCTCATCCTCCCCGGTTCGCACATGAAACGGAAACAAAAATGTGTATCATGACCATGGTGGTGAGAGCACACAGGAAAATGGCACTTACCGAATGGCGGAGCACCGACAAAAATAGAGTTTCGGGTTTTCAAAACATTTTATTCGTTTTATTCGTTTTTTTGCGGTTTTCAAAACGTTTTTGACATCTTTCGTAGGGGGTTGGCCAGAAAGATAAGGAAAGCATAAAAAGAGAAGCGGAAGGAAAAGTAATCTTTTAACCGCGCTGGCCAGTGAACTCGTCTACCTGACCTAGTCGACTTCTGTGGTTCGGGTGACGAGGTTGTCGACTTAGGCGGTATGTCGAGTCGCGTGGCTGGGAGAGTAGATGATGATTTGCCGCCCGGCTCGATAGAAATCGATGGAGCCGAGGTAGACAACTCAGATGGGTTGTTCCACTTGGAGTCAGTAGCGTTAGGAGAAGATGTATCCTTGCGTCATAGGTTGCGTTGATTCTTCGGAAGATGAGCAGACATCGTCGTCAAGCTCAGGTTCTATGCGGGCAATCTTGAGGCGGTCAGTGGTAACGGCTTCACGCTCACCGTATCGGTCGGTGATAAATACACGTTCCTTACGTTGTAGAACCTTCAAAGGACCTTCATAAGGTCGTTCAAGTGGTCTACGGAGACCATCAACACAGAGGAAAACAAAAGGGCAGTGCTGAAGATCTTGAGGTACGAATGACTTATGCTGTTGTTCTCTGGTGTCAGTAAACTTGATCTGACGCATGCTCGTGGCTAGCTGCCGAGCGTAGTTCGCGTCATAACGGAGGATTCTGGGACTCTCGGATAAGAAGTCACCAGGTAAAAGTAGAGGTTGTCCATATACAAATTCGACGCTGATGATCAGATGATCAGATGCCAAGAGGTATCATGGGCAGAGTTTCAGTCCAACTCAGTGCATTGGCCGCGCTGCGGTCGGTAGTCACTGTGGTTGGACAACCATGTGAAGCGACCCAGCGATGGACAAAAGCGCCTGTAACGGTTTCCAGAGTTACGTCAGAAATGGGGACAGCTTCGGGCCGACTGGTGCAACGATCTATCATGGTCAAAATGTAGCCCATTCCGTTGGACGGGGCCAACGGTCCAACTATATCGAGATGGACATGGGCGAATCGCGCTGAAACGGGTGAGAAGCGACCAAGTGCAGCGGATACATGCCACTGGATCTTGCTTTGCTGGCACGTGAGATAAGTGCGTGCCCAACGCGTAAGCTCAAATTGCATCCCAGGCAAAAACATATCGATCGGATATGAGTTTGCCAGTGGCTTTAATGCCTGGATGGGCAATGTTGTAGAGCCTATAGGAAATAAGACGGCGAAAGGTTTCAGGAACGACGTGTCGAGGTCGTCCTGTAGAAGTGTCACATAAGATTGTGCCATCAGATGATGGAGGGGGTGTGGGTATATCTTCAAGGAAGAATCGGAAAGCTCTGTAGAAGTCTGCTAAGTTGGCTGCGCAGCTGCCATGAAAGATAGACCGTTTACATGCTGGGCGGGGCTAATTGCAGACACTCTTGACAGAGCATCAGCGACAACATTCTGTTAACAAGAAAGGTGCTGAGTATCGGTCAAAAATTGGGCGATGAAATCCAGCTGACGAACCTCACGCGGTGAGTGTCGAGCTGATTGATTTCGAAAGGCAAAAGTCAATGGCTTATGGTCGGTGAAGATGATAAAGTGATTACCTTCGAGGACGTGTCGGAAGTGCCGGATCGTCGAGTAAACAGCCAGCAGTTCTCGGCTGAATGTGCTGTATTTAAGTTCTGCTGGTTGCAAGCGTCTCGAATAGAAAGCAAGTGACTTTCAACATCCATTAGTCATCTGCTTAAGACCGCGCCCACAGCGGTACTCGCTGCATCGACGGTAATGCTAAGCGGCGCTTTGGTGTCAAAATGAAGCATACCGGAGGCTGATAAATCATCTTTACTGTTATTAAAAGCTTCAATAGCTGCGGGTTAAGTTCTACATTCCCGTTCTTGCTATCACGGCGTAGGTTGGTCACCGGGCTGAGTAAATCAGCGCAATGCGGAAGAAATCATCGATGATAATCAATCATGCCGTTAAAACGGCGAATGGCAGCTACCGTGCTCGGAAGCGGAATGTCACGGATAGCTTGGACCTTGTCGTCTAAAGGCCGTATGTCATGTTGATCAGTGTGATGACAAAGTAACTCTATAGGCGGCTGCTGGAAGGTACACTTATCTGGATTGACAGTGATAGTATTGGCAGCGAGTCTTTCAGATGCTCTCGATGAGCTTCCTCGAAGGAACTGGCTACTAATATGTCGTCGATATAGTGATAGACGAACCTTTAAAACACTGAAATGTTTGACCTGCAGAGCGCAAACCCAGTGGCATGCGACGAAATTCGAACAAATCAAAAGGGGTAATGACAGCGGTTTTAGCATTGGCTTCGTCGGCTACCAGGTCAATTTTCGAGAACAAACGGGCACCTGGTAGGTTAGCCGTTATATCCTGAATGTGCGGTATGGGGTACCAGTCGGGAACGGTTACGTTGTTCAGAAAGCGGCACTCGCCACTTGGACCCTAGCCTCCTGACTTTTTAGGCACCATGTGAAGCGGCGATGACCACAGGCTCCTCGAAGGTCTAACTATACCTAGTTCGAGCATGTTCTCGCAAAAACCTTCAGTGCTAACCACAAACTGCTGTACAAGCACCTTAATAGCCTACGAAAGGTGAGGCAAGGATTTCCTCCACTCAAGACGGCCGATGGCCCAACAAGAACATCTATGGAAGCTGCAAACGTGCTGCAGATGCAATACGTCCCCACGTTTCAAAGAGTCTTGCCACCAAGCGATCTAGCAAGCTTTGTATTCTGCTCCCCAGGACTAACCCACATCAATTTTACCGCAGAGGCTGTATTGCAAAAGCCGGCTTCTCTACGCAAACACAGCTCGCCGGGTGTCGACACCATTCGTCCAGAAGCATTGGGAGCATCAGCAAACCAACTGGCAGGACCTTTAGCTCAGTTTTCCCAGCACTACTTAGACCAGAACCAAGTTCCCGCCATGTGGAAGCTTGGAATAATAAGCCCGATTCACAAAGGTGGAAGCAAAACTGATCCCTCCAACTACCGCCCAGTAACCCTTCTTCCTATACTCCCCAAGGTCATGCAATCCATAGTTGCCGATGTACTGGTGTGCTATCTGGAAAACTGCAACCTCATCACTCCTGAGCAGCACGGTTTCCGTCGACAGCGGTCATGTACAACTAATTTACTCATTGCACGCAGTAGTTGGACCGAGGCAGCCGATGCTGGAGAAGGTGTTGCTGTGATATACCTGGATTTTTCCAAGGCTTTCGATCGTCTATACCATCGGATACTACTATCCAAGCTACAGCATTACGGGATCGGAGACCCTCTTTTAAGCTGGATCGCTAACTTTCTATTTCAAAGGCAATTAGTGGTCAGAGTTCGGAGCTCTTTATCGGACCCCATACAAGTGGAGTGTGGTGTGCCGCAAGACTCGGTTCTAGGTCCACGTTTGTTTCTGGTGTTTATTAATGACCTTGCACAGGGAATCGCTTCAAACTTCCTAATGTTTGCCGACGATATCAAGATCTGGCGCAGGATCCAGGCGAACGCCGACCAACATGTGCTCCAAAGTGACTTAGATACAGTGTATCACTGGTCGATCCAAAACTTATTGCATTCCAACGTCAGTAAATGCAAGGTGCTTTCCATCCGACATCAGGGCAGCTACTCATACCGACTCGGAACGGATGTACTGCAACAATCAACTCTCGAACGTGACTTGGGTGTCCTGGTTCAAGATGACTTGGGTTGCTCCAGGCAATCGGAAAAGGCGTCCAAGACCGGGATTCAGCACGTTGGGCTGTTGAGGCGGGCGTTTGGACAAATAAACAGCTCCATATTTCGACAAATGCTCAGTGCGTATGTTCGCCCCCATGTCGAATACGCAATTCAAGCCTGGCATCCATGGCTGAAACACGACCTTAATGCACTGGAGCAGCCTCAACGCCGGGCATCTAAGAACGTAACTGGAATGCGCAATCTGTCCTACCAGGAGAGGCTGCGACGACTAGGATTGTTCAGTGGAAGCTATCGCAGGCTACGAGGCGACCTGATTATGACATACTTGATTCTGCGCGACCCACATCATGTGTGCCGCCCTCTACTGCAACTCAGCAGCAATACAAACCTGAGGGGCCACTCATTAAAACTCGCAGAACAATACAGTCGTCTGGAGTGCCGCAGAAATTTCTTTTCCATCCGTGCCTGTCACCCGTGGAATGCTCTCCCAGAATCGGTCGTCTCTGCACCGACACTAACAATATTTAAAAGACAGTTGGACGATGCACTCATCCACTTACACTTTGTTACTTAACACTATGTCTCCATCCTACACCTGGTTTACCCTGGAATTATTTGTTGTTAACTGTGGGTGTTGTGAATCTAAGTGGATCGCAGGACTGCAGCGAAGCAAACGATAAGTCCTTATTTTCGTATTTAAAGTGTTAACTATTTTACTATCCTTTTCATCATACTTATTATGTTGATATCCCCACCAACTATCCAACGGGCTTGTAAAGCAACGCTTCTTAACCCGTATAAATTCATTGTTCATTGTGCATTGTTCGGCTTTAGCGATACGAAGTTTATCCGGTGTAAGTCGCCTGACCTTGGCGAAAACAGGCGGTCCTTTCGTAAGGATATGATGTTTCGCGGCATCAGTTGCGGCGGGTATCGGAGTGACAGCACGAAAGACCTGAGAAAAACGGTAGAGGAGAATTTGCCCGATAGGTGGGCTCCTCTGAGTCGGATATACCGGACTGATTGACACCGCATCGGTCAACGTTCCAATGGCAGAGACACGTCAAACGGTCGACGAGACGGGGTTGCTTTGTATCTACAAGCAAGTTGTAGTGCTGCAGAAAATCGAGTCAGAGGATTATTGTTTGAACGTATGCAACGAGGAATACCCATTTAAAAGATCGTCGTAATCAACATTGAGCGTGAGCTGGCGTTGATCATACACTCGAATGATGGTTCCTTTGGCTGCGCGCAATGAGCTAGTCACCTTCTCAGTAACATCAGTGGAATCGCGTGGCAAAACGCTAACTACTGCACCTGTGTCAAAGAAATAGCGTAGTTTCGTTTTCCGGTCGATAACGAACAAAAGGCGACTGCGATGACCAGCGATGTGCGTCGAGCCTACGTGCTGACCTGTCCGTTTCTCTGTGTTTGGCGCTTAAAGAAACAGGGGGAACGGCACAATCTGGCTTGCGGACCAAATCGCTTGTGGTACCAGCAATCCTAAAACTATGATTTCATAATATTTAGGATTGCTTTACACATCAAGAGGGGGGAATCTGCAGGTCACTACAGACTACTTGAAGTTTGTTAAGAAGGAAGCTAACATTTGACAGGCAGTTTTGCTGCCATAGCACAGCTGTTACAGGAACGAACAACCTCCTCGTGGTGCCAGCTGGGTGGTTCGGGTAACTCCCGTTCCAGCAAATGGTTCGGCGGCAGTGTTCCAGGATGTGGTGGGATTTCGCCTGGCAAGCTTTCTCCCTATAAAATACCACAAATATCCGTTTAACAACACTGTGACGTGGCGGATGTGACTCGCCACTAAATAAAGTCACTGCCTCTTCCCTTTTCCGGAGGATCATTCACACATCACGAACGTCATCCGATTCAAAGCGTTCCATTGATTCCCCCCTTTGATGGCGAACACAACGAACAAAATCACACACAGAGTCACATTTACCTACTCACACAACATGGCCCCTTCCAAATACATAGTTAAACATACTTTTACATGTCAACACACACACACATTCCTATGCTATTTGTCAAAATGTACTAATTTGTGCATCTGCCGATCGTTCATGTCTGTATTACCATGATCACGCCCTTGATGGTGTGCCTCGCAATGACGAGAATAAATTATTTGTTTGTTTGTTTATTATTCATCTCCTGGTCCATGAATGGTCAGTAGGCATAGCTGCGGGTTATAAATTTTATACGACTGATTCCCGGGTGACGTTCATGGAACTGACCGGGAACCTTCTTCTGTAGAATCTTAGCAAGCACAACTCGGCCAGCTGACATGAAGCAACCATCAATGGTGATTAGGGCGAACTTTCTTTTACGAAACCGCTTACCGAAGCTGTCCAAGGAGCGTGCATGCCAAGCAGTGCTAAGGTACCCCCTAATACGTTGCAACAGGGGGTCTTTTGCTGTTTCTAGTCTAATTGCGTCGGCTGTTACTGGAATTTGACGTACAGATTTTTTGGTATCTGGTGCGGCCTGTAAATCGGCCTTGCTGTTCCCACTGGACATCGTTTTTACCATATCGCTATGAATACACCAGTTTTCTCAACATTGGTATTCGTCAAGTTACCTCCAAGGTCACTGTAGCTGACGTTCGTGTAATCGTTGAGAAAAATTCACGATAAAACGCACGTGAAGATGGACGGACCGGACTGAAATTTCAGCTCGCATCGCTGGCTTTAAATTATTTAAAGCAGTTAGTTCCCTTCAGAAATTTGAAAAGCACGGTAAGAAGACGAAAACTGGTAGATGCATGCATTTCGTATTGTCTCCTCAGTACCATTAACAATAACCGGTATGCAACTATATACTTAAATATGTGTGTGACCGAATAAGCATAAGGTGAAAAAATGAATGACGGAAGTTCCACACCTATGTCCACGGCAGTCTTAAGCTGATAAATAATTGCTTTTGAACACACAGGGCCGGCTTCATCCGGCTTATCGCAACCGCCTCGGCGAAACGGAGGAAGCGGGGATTAGGGTGACGTAATACAAGTGTGAACGCTGATCCGAGCTCTATCCGGTGACGCGTAGTCAGTAGATGTTTACCTATTGAGGAAGCTGGCGGTTTGCGCAAGCACGGAACTTCAGTGGGACAGGGATCCTGGTCAATTTCACGTTGAACCCACCTTGGCACGTGTTCCTTTATTCGGGAAGTCAAAGACCGATTGGTTCTGCCTATGTAACTGTCTCCGCAGTCGCATACGAATTTGTATATGCAGTGTGAGTTGGCCCCTATCGGTTGAGCTTCCTTCGTTGGAGGCACCGGCAAGTTACAGGTTCTATTAATGACCACAACCTGAGCAGCACAGTAACTTCTCTGCGTAGCAGAGATTAGACGTTTCGTGGTTTTCAATACAGTAAAGTCACCCTTGAATGGCAACTCGATATAGATCTTTTTCTTGGCTGCCGTATGCACCAAGTCTTTCGGGCCTCGCTGTTGGCTGTGTCTCTCTATAAATCTACGTGGATAACCATTTGCAACGAGGGTCGTTGTAATTAACTCTAGCTCGTCGGCTAGACAATCAGCGGAGCAAATTCGTCTAGCACGACTAACTAAAGTTTTCACAAGGGTCCGCTTGTACCGCACTGGTGTGAAGCTGGTGAAGTGCAGGTATTGGCCGGACCAGGTTGCTTTCCTGTAGATAGACCTTCTAATGAGCCCGTCATCTCTGCGACTGATGAGGATGTCTAAGAATGGCAGACAGTTCTTCTGTTCCACTTCGCAGGTGACCCGCAAGTTGGTATGTGCGCAGTTGAATTGCTGCACCAACTGGACAATCTGCTGCTCTGATGAACAAAAGGCCAATATGTCATCAACATAACGCTTATAGTATGGCAATTGGGCTATTTCTGTGGATATGCCTCTTTCTATCATCAGCATGAAAAAATCGGCAAGTACAGGGCCTAGTGGGCTACCCATTGCCACACCATCGATTTGACGATATGGGGTGTTCTGAAAGTGAAAGCCAACATTTGCTGTGCACAGCAGTAAGGATTCCTTTAGAAATTCGACTGGAATTGGTAACGAATAACTAGAGTGCTCAGCTAGCTCACATATGTATTCAACAGTTTGTTGTAGTGGGACGTTGGTGAATAGAGATTCCACATCCAAGGAACACATGATCTTATCGGAGAGGTTGATGTCATCTAAGTCACCGATAAGATGAAAAGAATCTTTAAGACTATATGGATTGGACAGTTGTCGTGGTTGATAGTGACACCTATAATTCGTTGAAGCCAAGTGGAAGCACTACTCCGCAGCTATACGGGTCACCGAAGACGCACAAGAGTGGAGTACCACTTAGGCCGATTCTATCAATGGTAAATGCGCCGCAGCATAAATTGGCTCGCTGGCTAGTGAAGATACTTTCGCCTCTACGACAACTGTCCAATCCATATAGTCTTAAAGATTCTTTTCATCTTATCGGTGACTTAGATGACATCAACCTCTCCGATAAGATCATGTGTTCCTTGGATGTGGAATCTCTATTCACCAACGTCCCACTACAACAAACTGTTGAATACATATGTGAGCTAGCTGAGCACTCTAGTTATTCGTTACCAATTCCAGTCGAATTTCTAAAGGAATCCTTACTGCTGTGCACAGCAAATGTTGGCTTTCACTTTCAGAACACCCCATATCGTCAAATCGATGGTGTGGCAATGGGTAGCCCACTAGGCCCTGTACTTGCCGATTTTTTCATGCTGATGATAGAAAGAGGCATATCCACAGAAATAGCCCAATTGCCATACTATAAGCGTTATGTTGATGACATATTGGCCTTTTGTTCATCAGAGCAGCAGATTGTCCAGTTGGTGCAGCAATTCAACTGCGCACATACCAACTTGCGGGTCACCTGCGAAGTGGAACAGAAGAACTGTCTGCCATTCTTAGACATCCTCATCAGTCGCAGAGATGACGGGCTCATTAGAAGGTCTATCTACAGGAAAGCAACCTGGTCCGGCCAATACCTGCACTTCACCAGCTTCACACCAGTGCGGTACAAGCGGACCCTTGTGAAAACTTTAGTTAGTCGTGCTAGACGAATTTGCTCCGCTGATTGTCTAGCCGACGAGCTAGAGTTAATTACAACGACCCTCGTTGCAAATGGTTATCCACGTAGATTTATAGAGAGACACAGCCAACAGCGAGGCCCGAAAGACTTGGTGCATACGGCAGCCAAGAAAAAGATCTATATCGAGTTGCCATTCAAGGGTGACTTTACTGTATTGAAAACCACGAAACGTCTAATCTCTGCTACGCAGAGAAGTTACTGTGCTGCTCAGGTTGTGGTCATTAATAGAACCTGTAACTTGCCGGTGCCTCCAACGAAGGAAGCTCAACCGATAGGGGCCAACTCACACTGCATATACAAATTCGTATGCGACTGCGGAGACAGTTACATAGGCAGAACCAATCGGTCTTTGACTTCCCGAATAAAGGAACACGTGCCAAGGTGGGTTCAACGTGAAATTGACCAGAATCCCTGTCCCACTGAAGTTCCGTGCTTGCGCAAACCGCCAGCTTCCTCAATAGGTA